AGCTGAGGCTAGAGCCAAAGCCGATGACAAGTAAGTTTGCAATGCGCCTGTGAAACCGAAGCCGACGTCAGTGGCTTCCGCTATGTTAAAAGATAGTGCCGGCTTTGAGGCCATTGACTCGGAACTTTTTACCCGCGAAGCCGAAGCCGAAGTCAGCGGCTTTCAACTAAGGAAACGGAAAGACAAAACGAGCACATCAATTTAAGACGATCCCAAAGCCGTAGCTAGGTTTAGTATTATGTGCTGTTTTGCCAATGCAGAACAACATTTCCCTCTGTCCAAACTGCATGAAATCACAGAATATAGTCTGCATTCTGTAAAGTGATGGCGACGGAGTGCATGATTACGGATGGACGATTCATCAGACAGTCGTCATTGTCTTGTGGGTTGGTATGTAGGCACACAGTGTTCCGGGCAGTTAACCCGCGCCCGGCCGGGGTCTGAGACAACCGAGAACTGAGACTGAGAGAGAGACAACTGAGAACGCTCCCCCGCGCCTGGCCAGGGGAGAGGGGAGTTGACTTCCCCACCTGGGATCTCCAACTTCGAGACACCGTATGAGAAAAACAAAGTTGTTGGTTTGAAAGTTTCGTCAAATCATGAAGAATGCAGCCCAAATGTTTGACCTTAGGTTAAATGTCAGGCCGCCAGAAGCCACGAAAGGTTAAAAACGGTTGTTCCGATAGATGTTGCTAAAACCTATGTTAACGTGTGAAGACGGATATTGAGACCACGGATATAGACGTAAAGACTGTGGGAACTCCATTCCGGCCATTTATGTTCTCCCACATGGCTCAGGCTACATCAGGTCACCGTTCAAAATTGATCTACCAGGAGACGACAAGAACGATATTTTTCTTAACAATGCGCTTCTGACTATATGACCATCTTATTGGGTTCAGCTGTGGTAAAGTATTCCAGACACCAAAATACCATTTTAGAGTTACCTAAAGGTCATCTGAGGTCAACTTAGGTCAAATTTACAACCCATCCAAATGCAAAATTTTAAAGTGCTAGCCGGGTCTATGTGACCATTTTCATACTTTTTGTGGTCAGAAACAGTGTATTTGACATCTAGAGGCACTCAAGATCGTATAGCTGTTGTTTAGCATTATACATAGTCCCTTCGATGCTTGGCGATGTATTCTGTAACAAACTGAGAACAGGTACGTTAGTGCATGAACTTAGAAGTCATTAGCCTCACAAACACGATAAGGAGGTGGTCAAACGCGTCGCACTCGTTCACTTAGCCTCTCCGCTATTGGCAACAAAACTCATTGACCTTGGATAAGCTCATATGACCTTGCATGACCTATTGTGACCGCATGTTACATTTAATGATACACACATGTTTTCAGTGGTATATTCGAACTCTGCGTCGACGTAGGAGTCCAATGCGCTTCCCAGGCGGAGCCATTATGTCCCATTTTGCCACGCGTTTTTTTTTGTTGTTGTAAATCTCGCGTTTCCGGTGTTGAACTGAATGGAGACGCTTGCAGGAGCCGAAGGCGTCCCGCCAGTCGGATCAGATCAGAAACTGATCGCAATAATCCACTCCTGCTGGCCTAGTCGTATGCCAAATTTCGCGTGACCAGCTGACACCGTCACCGAGCCGTGAATGCATTTATGCTTGGGAAATGGATATAGGGACGTACATATGTCGTGATGTACATGTACGTACATACGTCGCGATGTACGTTCATGTAATGTACGTACATGTCGCTATGCTCCCATCTAAGAGGTTCGAGTAAAAAGCCCAAAATGTAAGAATCGCACAACAGAACCGCTTTTAATATCAGCTACCTGTCAAGGTTAGTCGTTGCTTATTATGTGATGGAAGCTGGATAACAGTTTAAATTGAAGATCGATCAATCAAAGATCATCGAAACTTACCTGTGTCTCATTACCCATCTCTCTACTTGCCTCTCTCAAATCCCATCCTGAACGCCAATTCGGGCACTGAGATGTTCACCGAATTCGAATATTCGGTCGGGCATCGCGTACATGAAGTCCAAAAGCTCAGCTTCAACACACACTGTGCGACTCGAATTTGCTGAGCCAGTCAGCCAGTAAACAATCATTTTGCCACGTGACAGCCATCCCATGTGGTTGTGTATTAAAACATGACCCCTAAACAGCCCGCCATTTTGACATTTTGCAGTTCGCAATTCAGCCGGGCGCCAATTCGGCATGCATGCCTTTTTTGCACGCCGCCATTTTGCGGTTCGCTGTCTGACCTTCCGTCATTTGGGCAGGTCGACTTGTTCCTCTTACCTCTGTGAAGTTTGTCGTTGAACACGCACCCGGGCGGTCGGCTAAATACATTTTGCTCGGGTGGTGGGTCAGTTTGACCCCTTCCCCTGAGATCTCCCAAAGAAATAAGAGAACCCAAATTCACAGGGTTGGTTGGCCTGCATGTGAACTCCCTTGTGTTGAAATTCCATGTGCCTAGGTCATGACCTTGAGCCCAAAGAAGATTAAACAAAGTCAAACTCACGATTGATGTCTCCAATGCCCCAGACCTCCTCATGCAACCACCGTGAAGCTAGATGCCAGTTCTAAGCAAAAGGTCAGTGGTGTTCTACTAAGGCCAGTGACCTTGTTTAATCTTAAAATGTCAAGGTGGTCTGACGCCTACGAGGTTGCTCCTATTTTACTATTCGAATATACGTCAGCGATTACTCCAGACGGTGTGTTCCTAAAAACAAGTTGACCCGGGTAATTTTAGATCAGTGACCTATTCTGGCTTTTAAGAAGTTTACGGGACATGTCTGTTGCGGTCCCTGTCATCAATAAATTTGAAATTAGTAACAGAAACTACCCCATAAGCCAAGAGTAAAAAGGAGGAATTTTTTGATTTCGGTCCGGCCTTCATACCTGACCCTACGTCAATGGAATTGGTTGTAATTCTAAGTGCAGTTGCTTTATTGCCTAATTAACTCTCAGATATTTATGGCTTCGCCTAGTACTCGGTTGTTGCATTACATTGCACAATTCCCTAGAAATGTCGTTCACTGACAGCCACGGCCTAACTTTGACCTGCCATCGGTCAGAGACCTTACAATGTTAATCTATGTTTAGATCAAACGATCTGGCGAGGGGACATTTTTACTGATTAATTTTCTACGGCTTTGCAAGTTTTAGCCGCGCCATTCGTAAATAATTCCGGATAACCTTTTGGGGTTTAATTTGACCGTCCACCCGAGCGCGTGCTAAGCGATTGTTTTTGGCGCGGCGATTTTTTAGGTGTCATTATTCTGCAATCGCCACTTAGTGATCGACAAAAAGGCATTCATGATATGGACCTTTTTTGCTGTAAAATCATCCTTCATCAGGTGCCGCCACGTCGGATCAAAAACGAAAAGGTGCAGCCACATGCATTTACTGCAACCATTTTGTAAAAGCCTTCACGGAAGACAGACACCTTTGAAACGCAGATTTCCGCCTGCAGAGAACTGTCCTGGTGGTAATTACAAGCAGCTGCAATCAATGACTGGAAAAATACTTAACTCACACAAGATGCCACTACTATCGGACATGGCTAGCACACCCAGTTCGCAAGTCGTCCAGTACTTCGTACGATGCGTTCGGTCTACGGCTTCGCTAGCCATCAAAGGTCTGCATAGGCGAATTAGGCCGTAAGTGTGCTGTCAGCCAAGGCTGTTGCGCACCCCGCACCCACGACGCCGGGGCACGTGCGCCGCCACGTTCTCATGCAGTTGGTCTCCGAGATGTGAACCGGAGACAACGACGGACTGATGCCTGGCGTTGCACCCGCTAGACGTGACGTACTGAATGTCGGCCGGCAGGTACCCGCAGACAGAACGACCGGGTTAAGGTGGTTTCACTTTCTCTTGAACACGAGCCCACCGCCGACACACCCAAGTGTTGTACATCGGTGCATCCAGGGACCCCAGGTATGTTGATGAGTGGTAATGCCAACTGCTTGCATGTTGGGGCCGGCTGCAGCTCTCGTGTCCGATGGCCAGACGGACCGCGAAATGGTCTCAGTAGGCGACTTGTCCGTAGACCCCCAAACATCATCTTATGATCCTTTCCATGACTGGCACGAATCGTCAATACGCCTTTGAGTTTGATCAATAGCCGATACTTCAATCGGTGATGACATAGTTTATATATATATATATATATATATATATATATATATATATATATACTTAATTTGCAATGACAGAAGGCGCCTTCAAATTTGGGGAATGTATATTCATTAACGAACTCACTCCAGCGCTCAACAAATTATTGTACAACCCTTGAACTATTACGTGGTGGGCGGTGATCACCATTGATGTGATTGTGGTGACTGTTCTCATCGTGTCTTTGTAGTGTTCTCATTATGAGTGTATTTTATACGCATCAAAGTGAAAATAGGATACTTCATACTTCAATTACTTATGGAAGTCCTACTTCAAATAGCCACGGTTCATTTGTGTTCTCCGTACCAAAAGATGTTTTCCAATGAAAGCGCACAACTGTTGTCCTTTAAAACTCAAAACTCATTTCTTGTGTCATTCAGTCTTCTCCGACAATGAGAGGGGATCACGAAACGTTAGGATGTAAAGAGCAACGAATATGAGTAATTTGTGCGAACCATTTTTAACCTAAACGACAATGCCAAGTCAAAAGCCCGGAAACTAGAACCAAAGAAGAAGAGAAAGGAAACTATACATATATATATATATATATATATATATATATATATATATATATATATACATTTATATATATATGCGTGCGTGCGTGCGTGCGTGCGTGCGTGCGTGCGTGCGTGCGTGTGTGTGTTAAAATTGACTTCTGACTCAACATTGACGAGCTTTTTGACGCATTGTTCTAGTTGTGATGACAGCACATGTTGCATATATATATATATATATATATATATATATATATATATATATATATATATATATATATATATATATATATATATATATGTATATATATATATATATATATATATATATATATATATGCAACATGTATCATTCGGCAAATGCCTGAAAGCCAGACCGTGTGACACAGACCAGACGTTATGCCGGTTTGCGTGCGCTGTGACTGAAAATGTTCGGGACCGCTGGTGTCCGTGTACCACTTAGCAGGCGACCGAGAGAGGCGGCTGTGATCAGTCGGTCTCCGCGGCGCGCCTGGCCGGTGGCGTGACCCATGCTGCCCTCGGGGCGGGGGGCGGGGGACAGGGGCAGGGCAGCGGCCCGCCCTGCCCGGCCCGCCGGCGCCACCAGCGCGCCGCGAAAGTCGCCCGACCGTGTCTCGGCACCTGTATTGGATATCCCGAGCGCCCCACGCGACACCGCCTCTCGTGACTAGAAACGCCGCGGTGCGCGGTGGCGAGCGGCGGCCGCCCACAAGCGCGCCTTTGTGAGACGGCGCGCTGGCGGCTGAGGCGGCACACACGGCCGCGACGAAATCGCGACGCTCTCGCTCTCTCTCTCACTGTTGCCCTATCTCTCCGGGCGCGCCGAGCTAAAATACAATACTGCGCAAAAACACTGACGTCGCACTTTCGGGAGCACGAGCACCACAACCGGCCGTAAATGCACGCATGAAAAGTACTTCAAAACGCGAAAGTGAGTCAATCCACTCGTGATAATGACTGTGCCCACCACCACAAACACAGCGCCGCAGCGCGACCCGGCCAGCGGGCGGGCGGAGAGCGGTGCAGGCCCGGCGCCGTGACGTAATCGGCGATATTCTAGGCGGCGCGTCGGCTCCGGTCGACGGCGGCGGTCAGGGCGGGCCGCGCGGCTGGCGGCCGCCGCCCGGTCAGCTGCCGTTGGCGGCCGGACCGTCCTGCGTCACCAGGCTGACCCGGCCGGCGGCCGGCTGCTCGGCCGACAGCAGGGCGGCCGTCTGCTCGGCCGGCACCGGTCGGTGGTCGGCGCCGGCCGCGCCGCGTCGGCAGCACACCACCCGCAACACCCAGCCCAGCAGCGAGTTGAGAATGCCTGCGGCGACAGGCCGTGGTCAGAGCCCGACACACGGCATGGCACGACACGGCACGGCACGGCACGGCACGGCACGGCACGGCACGGCACGGCACGCACGGCACGGCACGGCACGGCACGGCACGGCACGGCACGGCACGGCACGGCACGGCACGGCACGACGCCGGCCGGCTTACGCGGCTAATCACACGACACAAGAACGGGCACATGGGGATCGCCGCAGCGACACCAGCACTGAGCGTGAAGGAGCGCGGACACATCGCACCGACGGCGCGAGCGTTCGGACCTGCCTCGGGAGCAGCCTTGCGTAGCAGTGGAGCCGCGCCGACCGCGGCCGGGGCGGCCTCGGACGCCGCAGGCCAGGAGCGACGAAAAACACGGGACATATCGGATAGGGTTGTGAATAAAAACCGCGACCACGCCATTGGTTCAGGATGTTGCTGACATGGATGCATGCCACACTACCAGCCGAAACGAGGACTTGTAATTAATTGGCCGGTGCACGAGAACTTACCGAACTCAGAGTATGGGAAACAACAAAGTAGTAATGAACTTGACTAACGGAGGTAAAGAATAACAGCCAAGCACGCGGCATACGTGTGCCTGTCCCGGCCGGTTGTCATTAACTGACTTTCGAGCCTTCTCCGCCCACTATGGCCCGGCTCCACGCCTGAGTGCGTGCTCAGCTGCAGCAGTGTGCCGGACGGGACAGCTGTGTCGGCCGGCAGCTGCTGACGGGGCAGCGAGCGCAGCAGACCAGCAGCCGCATCGCACCGACACTGCGCTGCGTGCTGACACGGCGATCGGCCCCGCCCACGTCCAGCACCGCGCTGGATGTTCTCGGTGTGTGTGTGTGTGTGTGTGTGTGTGTGTGTGTGTGTGTGTGTGTGTGTGTGCGTGCGTGCGTGCGTGCGTGCGTGCGTGCGTGCGTGCGTGCGTGCGTGCGTGCGTGCGTGCGTGCGTGCGTGCGTGCGTGCGTGCGTGCGTGCGTGCGCGCGCGCGTGCGTGCTGCTGAACTACTCCGGACGTGAACGTGTCACCCTGTCGCGCCGACTGCAGTGGAGAGACCATTCAACACATCGCCCTCAAAACGTGGCTGTACAGTCCTAATGCCAGGTGTAATCACTGCAGTACGGCAGCGGGTTCCCTTATCATCATCTGCTCTGCTATCGGATGGTGCCGATCTGCTGAAGAAGGCCTCGATCTTCTCGAGTATCTCAACTCTCTTCTGCATTATCTTTCATTCTATTCGAGGGGAACGATGCGTGCATATCACGTTCTTGTTCCATGGCCACTTGTAGCTGTAACTATCTCGCAGCTAGGCGGCTCCACTGTCCCTATTTGTGCGCCGTCCGATACTTCAGCCGACGTGATTTGAAATATCTTGATCGATGGAGGTCATCACAGCATACAGCCCTCAATCACTGGCGAGCAGCACCTGAACGGACATGCCCCGAGACAGCGCCTCCGAATAATAAAGGCCTGTGTAGCTGTTGATTCGTCGATGGACTTATATGGCAACAGCTGCCTCATGTCGTACAAGCGGAATCATGATGCAGTAGATCTTTTGTTTAATATTTCACGAAAACAAAAACATCGACGACGTCACCTAAAACAAAAGCTGTACGCCATCGAAGATAACCCCAATGGTTGATACCCAGATGCCTACATGGCCAGCGTAGTCTGTTCTTTTGCGTGTTATCACTGATAGATTGGTCTTCCACCCCGTCACTCGAATTAACGCAAGTAGAGCATATCGTTGACAGGGCCTAGCTCATAAGACAGAGTCGGATGGCAACGCCCCCTGCCCGCAGCGAGCCAGTACAGCTCCGTCGGAGCGCTGAAGCGGAGTGACGTTCTACCAGCGTCCAGCCGCCACCACGGTCTGCGGCGCGGCCCGAGCGTCCACGTTCGACAGACGAGCTGATTTCTGTGACCTGGTCTAGCTCTGCTGAAGCCACAGGTCGACCGCGACACGGGCGGGCCGCGGCCGGTCCCGCTGCCGCAGTGTTATCTGTCTGAGGTCGGCCCGCCCTCCGGGACGGTCCGCCGGTTCTGTCCTGACCGGACGGGACGACACAGCTGGCCCGCGGCCGTCTCACGGCGTGTCCGGGGCCTCGCCACCGTCGTCACCGCCCTGCTGCGCCTCCCGCAGCCCGCGACAGAAGATCTGGCGCGCCTCCTCCAGCGTGTCCTCGAACTGGCGCAGGTCCTCGTGCCGGGCACGCCGCTGCTCCTCCAGCTCGTGCCTCAGCCGCGTCAGCTCCGCGTGCAGCGGCGCCAGCTCCGGCTCGGCGCCGGCCGCCTCAGCCGTCGGTCGGGCCGGGCGTCGGCCACGGCCCAGCATCTGATGCAGTCGGTCAGCCTCGCGGCGCGCGCTGGTCGCCGCGCGCCGCTCCTGCAGCAGCGCCTCGGCCGCCTCCTCCAGCTGGCGCTCGCGCTCGGCCAGTCGCGCCTCCAGCGTGCACGCCGCCTCGGTCAGCCGGCGCCGCTCGGCCGCGGCCGCCTCCAGCGTGAAGTCGGCCTCGAGACAACGCCGCCGCAGTTCGGCCATCTCATCGCCGCCGGCAACGGAGGGGGACGGGGACGGCGAGCGTGGCGGCTCGAGCTCCGGCTCGGGCCGCGCAGCCAGCGCTGCCTCCAGCCGCGCCACCTGAGCCTCGCGCGACTGCAGCTGCGCGCGTAACAGCGCCACCTGTTCGCCATTCAACGACGCAGGAGGCGCGGCGCCGTCACGAACCACCGGCCGCCCCTTGTCGGCCAGCGCGGCCTCCAGTCGGCGTACCTGAGCCAGCAGCAGCTCGATCATTTCATCGTCGTTGCGGCACTTGTCGGAAAGCCGCGCGTTCTGCTCGCGCAGCTGGGTCACGTCCTGCGCGAGCGCGGCGGCGCGCGAGCGGGCCGCGTCCCGCCTCAATCGGAGCGCGGCCGTCTCGTCGGCGCGCTGCTCGGCCTGCGCGGCCGCCTGGCGCGCCTTCGCCTGCTGCTCGCGCGCCAGGTCGCGGATATGCTCGCGAGCCCGACTGTCGACGGCCGAAAGGCGCGGCTCAGAGCGGGCCGCCGCGGCGCCCGGCTCAGTGGCAGCCACCTGCAGCTTCTCCAGCTGCGCCCGCAGCGTGACGATCTGCTGGGCGCGCCCACGCCAGCCGGCGCCGCTGGCCGACAAGCTGTGCAGCGTGACACCATCACCCACCTCCTGTCGCAGCAGCCGCTCGGCCAGGCGCAGCTCGCGGCGCGCAGACTGCGCCTGGTTGCGCGCCTCCACCAGGCGGCGCGTGGTGTCGCGCAGCCGCTCGCGCAGCTGGTCGGCCGTCTCCTGCACCTCTGCAGCCGCCGTCTCCGGCGCGTCCTCTGCCGCCGTGTCCCGGTCGGCCTGCGTGGCCGGCGGCGGCGGCGGTGGCGGCGCCTCGGCCAGCCGCGCCTCCAGCCGGCGCCGCTGCGTCCGCTCGGCCTCCAGCTCGGCAGTCAGATGGCGCTGGCGGCGCGACAGCTCCATGATGCGCGCGGCGGCCGCGTCGCTGCCGCCGGCGCCGGCCAGGTGGCACCGCTCGGCGTCCCGCTGGCGGCCGGCCTCGGCCCGCTCGGCGCGCGCCGCCGACAGCTCGGCCGCCAGCGCCGCCTTCTCGGCGCGCAGCCGCTGCAGCTGGCCGTGCAGGTGAGCGTTGACGCTGAGCGGATCGACGGCGGAGGCGGCGGTGCCAGCGGCCGGCTCCGGCCGAGTTAGGCCAGCTGGCGCGGACGGAGTCGGCTCGGGGCCGTCGGGCCACAGGTCTTGGGACGGCGTGTCACCGCACTCCATTGATCTCGCCGCCGCCTTCTTCATGCCAAATCCGATCCGATCAGTTCACGCCAAATATGGCCCGCCGATAATTTCAAGCCAATAATGGCATGTTATAGAATATCACTTAGCTGGAAGCACCTATGGCGGTGGCCACAAGAGCGAACAAAATAAGAATGCCTAGTAGAAATAAGTGAAACGCCGACGAAGGACCAGACATAAATCACAACGCCTTTATATCGACGAAAATGATGAGTTCAAGCACGGTCTTGAGTTTAATGGTTCTAATTCACTCTAACCCGTTCATACAACAAACAAAAAATATCACATTTGCAGCCTCGTGGTTTTCTATAGGCGGCACCTTCGCCGCTAGCACCAGCCCACCGCCGGCCGGCAGACTACTCAAAGCAGGCTCCCGTTCTCAGCTCTCACCTGAAGTGACGTAAATACCGCCGCATATGGCACAAAGCCGGACCAGGAACTGCACGAGCGGCTCGCGGTCCTCCGAGACGACGACCTTCAGCGCCGACATGTCGTACTTGAAGTAGACGCCCGGCACGCCGTGCGAACCGGCGTGGTGGTTGATGACGCGGCTCTGCGGCGGGCAAAGGCCGGGTCAGCGGAGGGCGGCGGGCCACCACAGCCACAGCCACAGACACAGACACAGACACAGCCACAGCCACAGCCACAGCCACAACCACGGCCACAGACACACTGACGCTTACATCGATCTCTCACCCGCTGCGACCAACGGCAATCATCCACCCAGTGCCGTTAACACCAATGCTCCACGAGCTGATATTATTTTCCGAGGCACGCAATGTTCAAAACTTTACCCGCCCTGCTTCCTGGCCCTGTCATATCCTTTGATACAAGTCGACATGATTTTCTCCATTACCGGTGCATACTGAACTACACTGTATGATGGCTGAATATTGCATATATGACAAATGCTCTAAGGTCAATATCGCTAATATAAACATGCAGACCAAATTGTAACACGTCACTTGCATCGACGAGAGCTCATACGAGGTACCGTAATATGCAGAAGGATCTGACTTCGCTCCGATATGATAGGCGCACTCAGCGTGCTGTACTCAGGCGAATAGTGTACTCGTTCTTAGGGGCCACTTAAATCCGTATAGTACTAAGGTATTACACAGTACTCATATAGTATTAAGGCAGGACCACTCAACGAAGTGCATGGCGCACCAGCTATTGTTCGCATGAGTTATAAATGTTCTCTAAGTTGCCATGAGACCACGGCTCAGGCCTGAGCCTCACACCGAGCAGCGTCTATTCCCACAGAAGCTGGTCCCTGTGAAGCTCTGACCATAGACTTCGTAACAGCTGTGAGCTCTCACCACAGACCTCTCAACACCGCACGCCGTCACCCAGCTCGCTGATTCCGCGCACCCAGCCCAGCTGAGGAGCACAGGCCAGGTTCACGCCCTCGCTCCCGTGTGCGTATGTGTGCGTATGCAGTATGTGTATGTGCCGGCGGTGGCCGGAGGGTCGCGGGGCGGGAAGGGCGGGCCCGGAGGACGCACCTGCTCCTTCACAGAGTACTGGTACGTGTGCGCGGCGCCCAGCAGACCGCGCACTTCCGTCGGCACCACCTCCATGAAGTACTGGTACATCTGCATCTCGGACGTGGCCACCTTCTCGTCGCCCTCCAGCGGGTGGATGAAGCCGGCTTGCTCGTCGCCGAACTGAAACCTGTTGGCGCGCGGCGTCAGACGGCGGCGCCGATGGCGCTCGCGGCCGACACCGAGCCGCGTGGTGCGGCAGACCCGCCGCCATCGCCGCCGCCCCGGCTCATCAGCTCAGTGCTGGCCAGTCCGGTCAGACACGCGCCGTCTCGCAGGCACGCGCGCGACTGCCCACTGCGTGCATACAGCTGGTCAGCAACCTTGATAACTGTCCCCTGGTCGTTTAGTTGTCCAAAGTGAGGCGACGGACCATTGCCTCCTCTATCAGACACGCGCGATCGTTTCCCTTCAGCGGGCGCGACAGCCGCGCTGCCGGTGCGGCTGGACCGGGGGAAGCCCCACCACCGCGAGCGTCCGCCAGCGGCGCCCACCCATCCACGCACCTGACGACGCGGTGCGAGAAGTTGTAATTGCCCTCTATGAAGGCGGAGATGTGCGCGTGCTGGCCGGTGGGCAAGCCGATGGCCTTGCCGGCCGTGATGTGGAAGTTGCCGGCCACCTTGTTGAGGACGAGCGAGCCGTGCACGCGACACGCGTCCGGTTGCCGACTGGGGCGCGGGTGGCTGGCGGCAGGCAGCACCGCCCGGTCAGAGAGCAGCCACACTACACGGTCGCCCGCCGCCCGCGCCGGCCGCCCAGGCTGATACGCACGCCGTCGTGCGTCTCAGCACGCTTACAGCTCCTCTGTGTGTAATGGAGACCATTGGCACATACATCAAGATGCAATGAGACACCAGTCTCAAAATTACTCGCCTTATTGCGCAATGGGAAAAGGTTTCCCATGCGATGTGAAATGGAGATATTCCTCTGTTCAGATCGGTGTTCTTTGAACTCACAAGCTACTTTTCGGGTGCATTTTGAATGTTACAGCTGATATCCAAAAGACCTGCAGTTTCAGTGCTATGGCTGATGTAAAAAGACCGGTGGGTGACACAGCTCGTAAGATGTGTCGAGCACAACGGCGATGACAAGGGCGATGACAGGGGCGATGACAGCTTTACTGAGGCCAGTCGGACCAGCCTGTGACTCACTGCGGCGGCAGCTCGGCAAACATGGACGTGTGGCCGCTACGGAAGAGCGTCTCCCGAAGGCCGTGGTAGTGCTCCCGCAGGAAGGAGTTCATCTAACAGGTGACGGGACACCGCGTCAGCTGGGAACACCGCACCTCAACACTGGACACCGCGTCAACTGGGGACACCGCACCTCAACACTGGACACCGCGTCAGCTGGCGACACCGCACCTCAACACTGGACATCGCGTCAAGTGGGGACACCGCACCTCAGCAATGGACACCGCGTCAGCTGGAGACACCGCACCTCAACACGGGACGCCGCGTCAGCTGGGAACACCGCACCTCAACACTGGACACCGCGGGAGCTGGGGACACAGCACCTCAACACTGGACAGCACGTCAGCTGGGGACACCGCACCTCAACACTGGACACCGCGTCAGCTGGGGACACAGCACCTCAACACTGGACACCGCGGGAGCTGGGGACACAGCACCTCAACACTGGACAACACGTCAGCTGGGGACACAGCACCTCAACACTGGACAACACGTCAGCTGGGGACACCGCACCTCAACACTGGACAACACGTCAGCTGGGGACACTGCACCTCAACACTGGACAACACGTCAGCTGGGGACACTACACCTCAACACTGGACAACACGTCAGCTGGGGACACCGCACCTCAACACTGGACAACACGTCAGCTGGGGACACTGCACCTCAACACTGGACAACACGTCAGCTGGGGACACAGCACCTCAACACTGGACAACACGTCAGCTGGGGACACCGCACCTCAACACTGGACAACACGTCAGCTGGGGACACTGCACCTCAACACTGGACAACACGTCAGCTGGGGACACTGCACCTCAACACTGGACAACACGTCAGCTGGGGACACAGCACCTCAACACTGGACAACACGTCAGCTGGGGACACTGCACCTCAACACTGGACAACATGTCAGCTGGGGACACTGCACCTCAACACTGGACAACACGTCAGCTGGGGACACTGCACCTCAACACTGGACAACACGTCAGCTGGGGACACCGCACCTCAACACTGGACAACACGTCAGCTGGGGACACTGCACCTCAACACTGGACAACACGTCAGCTGGGGACACCGCACCTCAACACTTGACAACGCGTCAGCTGGGGACACTGCACCTCAACACTGGACAGCACGTCAGCTGGGGACACCGCACCTCAACACTTGACAACACGTCAGCTGGGGACACCGCACCTCAACACTTGACAACACGTCAGCTGGGGACACCGCACCTCAACACTTGACAACACGTCAGCTGGGGACACCGCACCTCAACACTTGACAACGCGTCAGCTGGGGACACTGCACCTCAACACTTGACAACACGTCAGCTGGGGACACTGCACCTCAACACTTGACAACGCGTCAGCTGGGGACACGGCACCTCAACACTGGACAACACGTCAGCTGGGGACACAGCACCTCAACACTTGACAACGCGTCAGGTGGGACAACGCACCTCAACACTGGACAACGCGTCAGCTGGGGACACCGCACCTCAACACTGGACACCGCGTCAGCTGGGGACACTGCACCTCAACACTGGACAACACGTCAGCTGGGGACACAGCACCTCAACACTTGACAACGCGTCAGGTGGGACAACGCACCTCAACACTGGACAACGCGTCAGCTGGGGACACTGCACCTCAACACTGGACAACACGTCAGCTGGGGACACTGCACCTCAACACTGGACAACGCGTCAGCTGGGGACACAGCACCTCAACACTGGACAACACGTCAGCTGGGGACACTGCACCTCAACACTGGACAACACGTCAGCTGGGGACACCGCACCTCAACACTTGACAACGCGTCAGCTGGGGACACTGCACCTCAACACTGGACAACACGTCAGCTGGAGACACCGCACCTCAACACTGGACAACGCGTCAGGTGGGACAACGCACCTCAACACTGGACAGCACGTCAGCTGGGGACACCGCACCTCAACACTGGACAACACGTCAGCTGGGGACACCGCACCTCAACACTGGACAGCACGTCAGCTGGGGACACCGCACCTCAACACTGGACAACACGTCAGCTGGGGACACTGCACCTCAACACTGGACAACACGTCAGCTGGGGACACTGCACCTCAACACTGGACAACGCGTCAGCTGGGGACACCGCACCTCAACACTTGACAACACGTCAGCTGGGGACACTGCACCTCAACACTGGACAACGCGTCAGCTGGGGACACTGCACCTCAACACTGGACAACACGTCAGCTGGGGACACCGCACCTCAACACTGGACAACACGTCAGGTGGGACAACGCACCTCAACACTGGACAACGCGTCAGCTGGGGACACAGCACCTCAACACTGGACAACACGTCAGCTGGGGACACTGCACCTCAACACTGGACAACACGTCAGCTGGGGACACTGCACCTCAACACTGGACAACACGTCAGCTGGGGACACCGCACCTCAACACTGGACAACGCGTCAGCTGGGGACACCGCACCTCAACACTGGACACCACGTCAGCTGGGGACACTGCACCTCAACACTGGACAACACGTCAGCTGGGGACACCGCACCTCAACACTGGACAACGCGTCAGCTGGGGACACTGCACCTCAACACTGGACACCACGTCAGCTGGGGACACTGCACCTCAACACTGGACAACACGTCAGCTGGGGACACCGCACCTCAACACTGGACAACGCGTCAGCTGGGGACACCGCACCTCAACACTGGACAACACGTCAGCTGGGGACACTGCACCTCAACACTGGACAACACGTCAGCTGGGGACACCGCACCTCAACACTGGACAACGCGTCAGCTGGGGACACCGCACCTCAACACTGGACAACACGTCAGCTGGGGACACCGCACCTCAACACTGGACAACGCGTCAGGTGGGGACACCGCACCTCAACACTGGACAACACGTCAGCTGGGGACACTGCACCTCAACACTGGACAACACGTCAGCTGGGGACACCGCACCTCAACACTGGACAACACGTCCGCTGGGGACACTGCACCTCAACACTGGACAACACGTCAGCTGGGGACACCGCACCTCAACACTGGACAACGCGTCAGCTGGGGACACTGCACCTCAACACTGGACAACACGTCAGCTGGAGACACCGCACCTCAACACTGGACAACGCGTCAGCTGGGGACACTGCACCTCAACACTGGACAACGCGTCAGCTGGGGACACTGCACCTCAACACTGGACAACACGTCAGGTGGGACAACGCACCTCAACACTGGACAACGCGTCAGCTGGGGACACAGCACCTCAACACTGGACAACACGTCAGCTGGGGACACTGCACCTCAACACTGGACAACACGTCAGCTGGGGACACTGCACCTCAACACTGGACAACACGTCAGCTGGGGACAACCGCACCTCAACACTGGACAACGCGTCAGCTGGGGACACCGCACCTCAACACTGGACACCACGTCAGCTGGGGACACTGCACCTCAACACTGGACAACACGTCAGCTGGGGACACCGCACCTCAACACTGGACAACGCGTCAGCTGGGGACACTGCACCTCAACACTGGACACCACGTCAGCTGGGGACACTGCACCTCAACACTGGACAACACGTCAGCTGGGGACACCGCACCTCAACACTGGACAACGCGTCAGCTGGGGACACCGCACCTCAAACTGGACAACACGTCAGCTGGGGACACTGCACCTCAACACTGGACAACACGTCAGCTGGGGACACCGCACCTCAACACTGGACAACGCGTCAGCTGGGGACACCGCACCTCAACACTGGACAACACGTCAGCTGGGGACACCGCACCTCAACACTGGACAACGCGTCAGGTGGGGACACCGCACCTCAACACTGGACAACACGTCAGCTGGGGACACTGCACCTCAACACTGGACAACACGTCAGCTGGGGACACACGCACCTCAACACTGGACAACACGTCCGCTGGGGACACTGCACCTCAACACTGGACAACACGTCAGCTGGGGACACCGCACCTCAACACTGGACAACGCGTCAGCTGGGGACACTGCACCTCAACACTGGACAACACGTCAGCTGGAGACACCGCACCTCAACACTGGACAACGCGTCAGCTGGGGACACTGCACCTCAACACTGGACAACGCGTCAGCTGGGGACACTGCACCTCAAC